TTTACAACTTGAAATCAACTGGTCTGGGTGATGGCCCATGGGCAAAGACCTGCCAGTGGAATGGAGAAAAGCTCCTTTGAACCTGACAGAGGTTGGAGCCAAGTCACTGCGAGGTCACAGATGGCCTTGGTAAACCAGCCTCAATGAATGAAACAGAGCAGAAGCCACACCGTAATAATGATAAGAGAAAGGGAAAGTGTTGTGGACAGTATTGTGCTCAGCCCCATGAAAACCCACATGTGAAAACCCACATGTGATTGTATTTGGAGATAGGGCCTTTCAGGAACTAGAGAAGGTTAAACAGGATTGTAAGGGTGGGAATTAATCCAATACATTATTGTTCTTGTAAGAAGAGGAAGCGTTGCCAGGGGTGCACAGGCACAGAGAAAAGGCCACTGCTGGGGCCCTCATCTTAGTTGTCCAGCCTCCAAAGTGTGAGGAAATACGTTTCTGTTGACTAAGCCCATCAGTCTGTGATATGATAACTGTTGTTATGGCTGCCCTAGCTAATATAAGACGTGAGCAAGGGACTTTTCATATAAGATTGACAAAACAAGGAAGAGAAAAAAAATGTAGCTTGATGATCTGAGTTCAGTAAAGATGCTGCCTTAGGTAGTAATTGATTTTTAGTTTTTATTTTTTGAGTTGGAGTCTCATTCTGTCGCCCAGACTGGAGTGCAGGGGCCACTCCCAGCCACCACAGCCTCGAACTGCTGGGCTCCGGCGATCCTTCCGCCTCAGCCTTCCAAGTAGCTGGAACTACAGGCGCGCCCTACCATGCCCAGCTAATTTTTTTATTTATTGTAAAGATGAGGTCTCGCCAAATTGCCCAGGCGGATCTCGAACCCGCGGGCTCAGGGAATCCACTCACCTCAGCCTCCCAAGGCGCGGGATTACAGGCTGAGCCACCGAGTTGACTAATCAATATTTTCATGCCTTGATCAAGGATCAGTGCCATGCAAAACAGCCTAATTTCAGGTGGGCCAGAATTAACCCTTACAACACAGTGTAACGTTCAGGGGAGGTGTCGGTAGTTATCTAGTTATGCTTTCCTTTTGTATGGAGGTAGCTTTAGTTTCTCACAAATGCTGGTTACTCATAAAATATGACTAGGCTGCCCTTATCAAAGGATCATGTATTTACTTTTTATCTCATCCCTATTATAAACCAAAGAAGTAAGTTTTCTTGTAGCATCAGGTACTGCTAGGTGGTATATATCTTAGATTGCATATCTCCCTTTGTCTTAGAGAAATGAGACTACTGTTTATTGAAAAATTGTATTCTGAAGTATCTTTCAAAATAAATTTTGCTTGCCACATACTTTTCCTTTTATTATTACTTTTTTAGGTCAGCCATATCTTTGGGCTCGACTGGATAGAAAACCCAACAAGCAAGCTGAAAAAAGATTTAAAAATTTTCTACATTCAAAAGAAAACTCAAAAGGTTAGTTTTGGTTTTTTAAAAACTTTTCTTGATTTAAATAGCTGGATTTTGTGACTTATTTATTGCTATGGTATAGCTAGCTATACATTATATCCTTCTATAATTTGGGGATAAAATTATTATTTAATATTTTTATATACAAAATATTTCAAGAAACTATTTCAAAGTGTTCCCCTAATATTTCTGTGACTCTTCATTGTAGTATTATGTGTCTGGTTTATTAAAATATACAAATTACTGCATATATATTGAAATTAGTGACATTTTGCCTCTGTGTAAGAGACAAATATGTAATTTTATAAATCAGGCACAATCTCAAAGGAACATTAATATTTTTCATTATTACATTAAAATGCCTTTGCATTCATTTTTAATTCACTCGTATATCTGTACTCATTCATGTATATAAGTTATATATGTATTTATATTCATAGTGCATTAAAAATCATAAATCTGTACCTAAAGGAATACTGGTTACTTTAGTCAGACTTTTGTACTCTATATACAAATGGTTATTCAAAATTGAAAATTTAAAGTGTTAGTACCCTAACCCTAAGAAATACAGTTACAGTGAGGTGATAATGGAGAATTATTGTATCAGATCTGATATTATGAGGTTTAATTAGCTGTTCCCACTTTGAATCTGTTTAGTATTGTACATTTTTTAAAGTATCACTTCATATAACATTATCTCTTTTTAGAATTTTTTTGGAATGTTGAGGAAGACTTCAGACCTGTTCCAGAGTGCTGGATACCAGCAAAGGAAATAGAACAATTAAATGGGAATCCAGTGCCTGATGAAAATGGACACATCCCTGGTACCATAAAATCTCTTTTGAAATGAAGTTTGTGTTAGTAAAAAAACAACAAAATATCTATTCAGTCAAATTATAGAATATAATTTTAATCTGGTTCTTCATTTGATTCATATATATAGCACAAAATTTCTGAATCCAATTTATGTAAAGTCTAACAGTTATAGCAAAGATGTTTCATATCAAGAATGTCCTCTCAGATTTAGAATCTTTTCTAAGATGAATATTTTACTGTGTGAAGTCTGTAACAATAAAGGGAATAGCCTTGAAGTTTTTCTCAGGATAGATGAGATGTTTGATCTAATGAAATGAAATTAGGAAGTCTTTACCTTTTGGTTGGGGTTAATATACAGTATATGTATATACTTTTTGTGAAAATCCCAAAAGAATAACTTAATGAAAGGAGTTGAAATTAGGTGTCTCAACCGGGCTCGGTGGCTCAGCCTGTAGTCCCGCGCCTTTGGGAGGCTGAGGTGAGTGGATTGACTGAGCCTCT